CTTCTTGGAACTGTTTTGCGATTTGTTGGTGGCGCCGCAGTGTGCCGGGGGCACGGCATCGGTGGAAGTGATGGAGGCACTGCGGCGTGGAATGCGGCGCAGTCATCCAGCCTGCTTTCCAGCTCCGCGGTGTTACTACCACGGACGTTTACGGCGTCGGGGGGGGGGGGGGGGTCCACGGGTGTCTGGGGCGGGTGGGCCGGGGTCCCACAGGTGCCAGCAGTGTGTGTGTGGGGGGGGGGGGGCGGGCGCGGACGCCTTAGTCAGTCCGCCCAAGACAGCCGGCGAACATGCTGCTTCCACGAGCGGTAGAGATTCAAAACCTTGAGCCAGGGGAAGACAGTTCAGAAAAAAACTTCCCCAGACGCTGTCTCCGGGGTGGAGTTTCGCTGTCTCCGGGGTGGAGATGCGTTGGGTGGGGGCGGGGCTGACCGGGAAAAGATGGCTGGAGCTCTCACCAAACTGCACCAAAAAGTTTTTACCTTGAATTTGACCCACTTTCGTCTCTGCTAAGGGAGGCTGGAGCCCACCAGCTGAAGAAGATTTTAAGGGGGAATCGTAAAGCAGACGCAGCGAAACAAACTTCTTAGAATAATTGGAACCAGGCAGTTCAATTGTGGCATGCCTCAACTGCACGCAAATTTCCGGCTAATTGTCCTATCCCTGCCCGTGCGCGAAGCAACATCCGTATACACACAAAGTGCGCACGTGCAACCATTCTAAAACGTAATCACGGCAGCGCGCGTCTGACCAATGAAATTCCGAACGCAACCTCGCTCGTCGCTACACTCCCAAGCAACCGGCACCGAGCGATTTGAAAGCAGACGGTCGCCGCGCGGCCGTGAACCGCCCCGGCCCACATGTCCCGTTTTACAGCGTCTAGACGGCGGCAGCGTGATGGCAGGCCCAGCGGACGCCGGGCGCGCCGCCTGCAACAGCCAGCTGACCTTTCCGGACGGGCGGTCCGCACCTGTGACGTCACCACGACACGCTGCCGGCTATTCCGGGCTGTGCGAGAGGAGGCGATGCCGGTGGGGCGTCGTCGCGTCCCGCCGCACACCGTTAATTGTCTCGAGTCTGGACTCGCGTCGAGTCTGAGTCTGGGCTCGGACGGGCCGGGCATCGGCGCCGGCCGGCCGTACGAAGAGCGAGCATTGCTGGTTTTTCCGCGCCGCGCGACGCGCGTCGTGGCCGCCTGTTGCCACCGCGATCTGTGTCTTGTGTATGTTACCAAGGAACGGAGCGGCGACCGGGCGGCGCGGCGCGGCGTAAACAGCTAAAACGGCGCCCCACGACACACCACGCGCACCACGCCCGACCGCAGAGCCAGGCGGCCCAAGTGACGAGCTGGGCCGGTGACAGGGTCCAGAGCGGGCCAGTCAGCGAGGGCGCGAGCGGTCGTGCGCCTGGCCTCGGGCACTGTGTCATGAAGGGGACCTGACGGCGTCGTCGTAACGACGGCCTGTGGCATGCCGTCGCAGACAGCTACACCCGAAGGTGAACTCGTGGTGCAGCGGCCGCGGCGGCGGGACGCAGCCGCGATAACACATGGCACTGCGCTCACAACTCTCAGTACGGCCGCGTCGAGCGCAGCACCGACGTCGACACGGTTTATTTGGAGTGGTCGGCTGCGGCGGGAGACACGTCAGCCGGAAGCGGGCGTCGGGGACACCTTGACAACGCTGCCACTTCGCACAGACAGACGGGCTCGGCAGGCGGCCTCGCAGACGGGGTACATGGTACGGGGTGCTGCGCACCCGCCGGCGCCCAGAGTAAAAGACGGGCTCAGCAGGCGGCCTTGCAGACGGGGTACATGGTACGGGGCGCTCCGCACCCGCCGGCGTCCAGGGTAAAAGACGGGCTCAGCAGGCGGCCTCGCAGACGGGGTACATGGTACGGGGCGCTGCGCACTCGCCGGCGTCCAGGGTAAAAGACGGGCTCAGCAGGCGGCCTCGCAGACGGGGTACATGGTACGGGGCGCTGCGCACCCGCCGGCGTCCAGGGCAAAGCACCCGTCGGCGGCGTGGCGAGCCGACCGTGGAGCGATTTCGTTCTGTGTTTGGCTGCCGCTGGTGTCTGCACGACCGCCATGCCTCTCCGCCTCTCCTGGCCGGGTGGCACGGCATGGCATGGCACGGTTACCAGTGGCATGGCAGGGATGTGATCGCCGCCGTGACCACTGTGACCGCCGCAACCACCATTTGAAGGGCGCGAATGGATGCTGATGTTACCATGGGCAAGGTGACCTGCTTAAACCGCTTCCACCCCTCCGTCGACGGCACCGCCTCCTCCGAGTGTCAGCAGACGAGAGACAGGAAATAGGTTACATCTGGATGGGTTTGGAGATGACAGGCTCTGATTTTGTTGAGCTCTAGTGCCGGCTTGCAATGCCCGTGTACTAACGCAACCCCGTGTTCGCGGTGTCCATGTACTAGCTTAACCCCCGGCCCACAGTGTCCATGCACTAACGTAACCCACAGACCACAGTGTCCGTGCACTAGGGTAACACCCAGATCACGGCGTCCGTGCACTAGCGTAACCCCCAGATCACAGTGTCCGTGCGCTGGCATAACCCACAGATCACGGTGTCCATGCACTAGCGTAACCTCCAGGTCACGGTATCCGTGCACTAGCGTAACCTCCAGATCACGGTATCCGTGCACTAGCGTAACCCCCAGATCACGGTATCCGTGCACTAGCGTAGCCCCCAGATCACGGTGTCCGTGCACTAGCGTAACCCCCAGACACGTATGCACTAGCGTAACCCCCAGATCACGTGTCCGCACTAGCGTAACCCCCAGATCACGGTGTCCGCGCACTAGCGTAACCCCCAGATCACGGTGTCCGCGCACTAGCGTAACCCCCAGATCACGGTGTCTATGCACTAGCGAAACCGGCTATTCAACGACCACATTCTGGGTGTCGGGGTCCCGTACCGGTAGAGGGAGCCAAGATATCGCTTCCGCAACCGATCTTCGATGATGCGACATCTGTCCGCTTTTGTCAAATATCCTCATATGACATCTTTACGTCACCCACTGGTCATACGAGTTCGAAGGCAAAACATCGCTGCTAGCCCTACACCTTAAGTGCATTTGATGGTTGACGCGAAAGCAGTTCGGCTTCACTTACTACATCGTATACTCTATTTCCGCGCTCATCACATTCATGCCACAGTTACAACTGTGGCAGCTAGCACCATATATGTAGTAGGCTATTGGTAATGGGTTCCCGGCCGAAATTCAACTGGCCTGGTCAGCGTTTAACCGGCGCGACCGGCTGTGCTCACGCCTCCGGGCCACTGACCACGTGACCTGGCCGAGGTCACGTGTGCGGGTCAGAGCGGCCGCAAACCTGCGGCAGGGACGATAACATGCGGCCGTGAGTTGTGTTGTCCAGGATGCTGGCTGTAAATAAAAGTGGCTGAAGTGAGTCAGGGTCTGCGGATAGATCCTGGATTAAATGTGTCAGGGATGAATAACGAGAAGTGTCAAATATGTGAGACGGGAGATTGTATCAACGCCGGTCAATGACCGTTCGACCACTCCGAAGCTCCAGAACTTGACTCACTGCCCGTGCCAGAACGAATTTATGGACCGATGGCCGGTGAAGCAACACCAGTCCTCTGCCCGCCGGAGCGGCATTTGGAGCAATACCGGCCCTCTGCCCACCGGAGCGGCATTTGGATTCTCCCATGTCAGGTGCGTGTTCCGAAGTGACAACGGGAGCAGTCTTAGTTTATCAAATCTTCAAGAAGGATGTGGTCAGGTCTTTGACTCCGACTGGGCTTTCGCCGCCAATAGGTCTCTGTAATAATCGTGCGGTAAGCCTTGGTGCCGAATGCTTTCCATGGAACGCTCCAAACCGTGCACACTACGGTTCTTTTTCTACTGCAGAGGCGATCAGCCGTTCTCGGTCCACGCTTATCCAGAAATAGGTGTGTAGGGAGGGTATGGATTTCAGACACGAATGACGCATAGCTTTTCACTCAGCCACCATATTGTTAGGCTCTTGACAAAGGTCGCTGATATTTTTTGTTATATAAATGTATTCCGAATGGTTTGCGTGGGCGACTTCGGGTCCAGAGTACCTGCCAAGCATGCACCGATTTGCTATTTTCCCTGTTGGATTCGCTGCAGGGTTGGTTGAAACAGAATATCCATCAACAGATCGAAGCATTTAAGCGCACCATTTTTCAGTGATCACTGACTTAAACAGCAGAACATCAGTGTAGCGGAAAAAACGCGCGGGCGGTCAGCGCCAGAGAACTCGTGCAGGGTACGCGCGGGCGGCCAGCGTCAGAGAACTCGTGCGGGGGTTACGCAAGCGGTTAGCGCCAGAGGGTGGCGGGAAGGACAGCACGAGCGGACAGCGCCAGAGAGCTAGCGGGAAGGACGGCACGTATGGTCGGCGCCAGATAACTGGTGATAAGGACAGCACGAGCGGTAAACGACAGAGAGCTGCCGGGAGGAACGGCACGGGTGGTCAGCGCCAGAGAACTGTCGGGGAGGACAGCACGAGCGGTAAACGACAAAGAGCTGGCGGGAAGGACAGCCCGACCGACCTCGGTCCAGCACAAAAGTATACACTGGCGCAGGAGCACAGGTGTGCTGCCTTTCAGCTCAGATCTGCTGGGCCCGCGGAGGCCGGACGACAGAGCTCGACGCTGGTGTTGGCGCACACCGTGCGGATGTTGGTTCGAGACCCTCTGCCAGGCGGACTTCGGTGTCCTTCCTCAACGTGAGCGTAAGGGATTGCGAACCTCACGGGGGTAACGATTACGAGCGCCGTAACATGGCCCAAACATTGACCGATCCATCAAGCTGACCAGCGGTGCAGCGCCGTCGAATCCAGTTTGCCTCTTCGACACTGCTTATTCGGAAACCTAGCCATGCACTGCTCTACAAAATAAGCTCGCCGTTTTGGACGTAACTAACAGCGAACGTCACGGGGCGAGTCGATCACACGGCACCCCAGGGCCGAACAGGAGACGAACTGACCTTGCAGCTTGCCGTGTCCGATGCGGCGCACCAGTTTTCCGAGCGGGTCGAACACGGACAGGCAGCGGTTCTCGAAGTCGGAGACCACGTAGTTGCCGTCTGGCGTGGCTGTGACGCCGCAGGGCCGCTGCATCTGACCCGGACCGCGGCCCGCGCACACCGAACCTGTCGATGTGGCCCGAGGGCGGTCACCTGCCGCCCACCGGGGCCGCATGGCGGCACACGGGTCCGACGCAGCCGGCGGAGCGGAGGGGCCAAGCATGACGTGTGGCGCGCGTCTGTGGGCTCCCGATCTGAGGTCCGGAAAACCGCGCTATGCGTGCTTCTACGGTCGGGGCACGCAGCGACGGTGCTTTCAGAGCCTTGGACCTCGTTACCGCCGGAGCATGAGCGTTTGGTTCGTACTGTCGACATGACAGTACCGCCGAAGCATGAGCGTTTGATTCGTACTGTCGACATGACAGTACCTCAGGAGCATGAGCGTTTGGTTCGTACTGTCGACATGACGGTACCGCCGGAGCATGAGCGTTTGGTACGTAATGTCGACATCCGCCGGAGCATGAGCGTTCGGTTCGTACTGTCCACATGACAGTACCGCCGGAGCATGAGCGTTCAGTTTGTACTGTCGACATGACAGTACCGCCGGAGCATGAACGTTTGGTTCGTATTGTCGACATGACAGTACCGCCGGAGCATGAGCGTTTGGTCCGTATTGTCGACATGACAGTACCGCCGGAGCATGAGCGTTTGGCTCGTATTGTCGACATGACAGTTCCAGAGACAATCTAGATACAAAGAAATCGGGTGAGCTGGCGCCGTAATGAAAACAAAAACGGCGAGTGACTCGCTTCCACCTAACGACGCAGCCCCAGCAGCACACACTGTCCCGGTCCCGAGGGGTCTAGCGTCCAAACAAACAAACAGACACGGCCGGGGCGAGCTCGGCTGGGATCAGGATCGTCCCCGGTCCGGGGTGACCAGAACCGGCGGGGTTCATCAGGGTCGTCCCCGGCTCGGTGTGACCAGAGCTCGGCTGGGTTGATCAGGATCGTCCCCGGCCCGAGGTGACCAGAGCCGGCGGGGTTCATCAGGGTCGTCCCCGGCTCGGTGAGACCAGAGCTCGGCTGGGTTGATCAGGGTCGTCCCCGGCCCGAGGTGACCAGAGCTCGGCTGGGTTGATCAGGGTCGTCCCCGACTCGGTGTGACCAGAGCCGGCTGGGTTGATCAGGATCGTCCCCGGCTCGGGGTGACCAGAGCTCGGCTGGGTTGATCAGGGTCGTCCCCGGCTCGGGGTGACCAGAGCTCGGCTGGGTTGATCAGGATCTTCCCCGGCTCGGTGTGACCAGAGCTCGGCTGGGTTGATCAGGGTCGTCCCCGGCCCTGGGGTGACCAGAGCCGGCGGGGTTGATCAGGATCGTCCCCGGCTCGGTGTGACCAGAGCTCGGCTGGGTTGATCAGGGTCGTCCCCGGCCCGGGGTGACCAGAGCCGGCGGGGTTCATCAGGATCGTCCCCGGCTCGGTGTGACCGGACCTCGGCTGGGTTGATCAGGGTCGTCCCCGGCGCGGGGCGACCAGAGCTCGGCTGGGTTGATCGGGGTCGTCCCCGGCTCGGTGTGACCAGAGCTCGGCTGGGTTGATCAGGATCGTCCCCGGCCCGGGGTGACCAGAGCTCGGCTGGGTTGATCAGGGTCGTCCCCGGCCCGGTGTGACCAGAGCTCGGCTGGGTTGATCAGGGTCGTTCCCGGCTCGGTGTGACCAGAGCTCGGCTGGGTTGATCAGGGTCGTCCCCGGCCCGGGGTGACCAGAGCTCGGCTGGGTTGATCAGGATCGTCCCCGGCCCGGGTGAGCAGAGCTCGGCTGGGTTGATCAGGATCGTCCCCGGCCCGGGGTGACCAGAGCTCGGCTGGGTTGATCAGGGTCGTCCCCGGCTCGGTGTGACCAGAGCTCGGCTGGGTCGATCAGGATCGTCCCCGGCCCGGGGTGACCAGAGCTCGGCTGGGTTGATCAGGGTCGTCCCCGGCTCGGTGTGACCAGAGCTCGGCTGGGTCGATCAGGGTCGTCCCCGGCCCGGGGTGACCAGAGCCGGCGGGGTTGATCAGGATCGTGCCCGGCCCGGGGTGACCAGAGCCGGCGGGGTCAGGGATAGCCAGGACGTGACCGGTGCCAGGGTCGTCGGGGACGGTCCGGCTGCGGCGGCGCGGTCACGGCCTCGCTGCGGCGGCCAGGTCACGCGCCGGCCGGCCGATCGCCGCCGGATCGCCGGTAATTGGGAGCTGCCTCGCCGCCCGGCCGGCCTTCGCAGCCAGCTGTGGGCGGCAGGCTGGGCGGGAGCGGTCCAGATGCCGGCTGCACGAGTGAGACCGGCGCCAGGCCGCCGCCGCCGCCCCCGCGACCGTCTGGCGCCGCCAACGCGCCCGCAGGCTGCACGGGGAGAATGATACCATATCACCAACAGCTCGGAAGACGACACGAGGCCCCCCCCCCTCGCGGCTTGGTAGCACGGTTCGCCTCGCCTGCAGTTGTGGCACCAAGTCACGGACTCCTCGGGCTGACGTTAGTTCAAAGTCTGGGGACGAATACGTGGTCAGGCCCCGCCTCGGAGACTGACCCCGGGTCATACCTTAACCAGCACCGTGACACCGGGCCATGATCTTCCCAGGACATGATCTTACCAGGTCACGGTCTGCCCTGGGAACTGGCATCAATTACAGCCTGTCCGGGGGCTGACACCAGACTGAAGTCTGCTCTGGGTGACTGATCAGAGATCACATCGTCGTAGAAGAACTGACTCACGCAGGTCTGGGCCTGCCTGTGAGCTGGCACTAGATAATGATCTATCCTGGAGACAGATGAGGACGGATGATGATGGTGATCTTGAACAGTGCCATAAAGATAAGAAATGTTATAAAATAATTAAATGATTGCTAATATATTTTCATGTAGTACTTCCCATCGTGTGTATCCAGGGCCTGGTGGTGCTGTTTTCCAGCAGTGTTGTTATACGAACTTTGTAAGTTCTGAAACTGCTCGGATTTTACGGGAATGCTTGGTGTTTTCAGCAGTGCTGACAGTCATCAGTGACCAAAGCACTGTCGGAAACGTAGAAAATTGGCTCGATATATTTCAAGGATTGCTTGACATGTTTAAACCAGCATATCCCTTGGTGTATTGTGGGTCGGATAGTTCAGCATAAGAAGTCAGAGCGTCATAATGAATAACAGTTATGAGTAACGGTTCCGTATGATATCCTGTGCATAATGGCCACTACGAACGTAATAAAACAATGATTTGCTATCAGCGCATTTTCGCCCAGCTCCGGGGGGCATTGATCTGCCAGCCGAGTTTGAAATCCCACCGACAAAATTCCCCGCTGATTACACCACACACCGTCACTCAAAGGCCTTACTTAAAAGCTTCCACACTTGGTCCCCGAAGGCGTGCCTTACCGACGGTGACGAATACGTACGCAGACAAAAACGTCTGGCGCCCACGTGACCTGGCTGGGGCGACAGAGTGGGCGGGCCGCTCTAATGCGCGTGACGAGCCGGTGGCGAGCGAACGTGACGCTGGCGGTACAGGCCGCCATCAACAGAGGTAATGCCGGCTCTAACGGCAGAGACGCCGCCATCAGCCGGGCCCGAACGCCAGCCGTGCGGCGTCATCCACAGAGAGAGCTGATAGGTGGCTCTCTCCTGCACACAGTGCGTAGGCTGGCGCGCGTACCTCAGCGCTAGCGGGTGTTTGCCAGGGCTATTAATAATGGCGGATAGCACGAAGCTCAGCATACATATTGCAATGCTATACCAAAACCAGACAAGATGAGCCATGCAGACTGGAAGTGTATTTTAAACTTGAGACTTGGTAGCCTGCAATTGAAGGTAGCATCGCGCAGATGCCCCAACAGTGAATGCCTTTACGTCTAAATAAATGCTATGTCTAAAGTATTTTCCAAAAGGTCTCAAGGAATTGTACACCGCACAATATTGATAGCATGTATTGACTGTTGTAAACAATTCAGCAGATACCGTAGCAACTAGTAGAGAAGTTTTGCAGAGCCCGGGTTCGAAAGCACCATCTTTCAATTATGAATTGGACACGTCACCGGTTGAGCCAGTGAGACCGCGGTGTATCCTCTGAAAGTCGAAATATTTACGGCGTGCTGTGCATGTGAATTTGGACCCGGTTCGCTGTGAGAGTTTGGCTCCTCTAGACAAAAGTCAATGAAATGGCGCAAGATCATGAACCACATTTTTTGTTGCCGGGTTCATCGATATTTGCGTGATGTGTAGTCATGGCTCTACAAAAAGCAGAAATTCAACACATGGACGCTGTGGGCTAATAAGAAAAGCGCGTCGTGGAGCGGATGTGTTACCAACGTATCTCGGTGGGGGCTGGGCGCTGGCACCTGATGACGGGTAAGGCATGACCCCCGCGCCCATTCGCTGACAAACAGCCGCCAGAGGTGGGGCAAACGATGAGGTAACGGGCAGTGGCGCGGCCTAGACCGGGATTTTGGGTCCATGCCCCCCCCCCCCCCTTCCCTGGAGGTGGTGGGGGCTCTGGAGGTCCATGGTCCCTGTGCTTTTTGACCGCTCGCTGCCTTCCATAGAGAGCCTAACACATCACAAAACAGGCCCCAGGCATCAAAAGAGGATCTCGAGCCCAAAATATCCACAGAATCCGAAACCAGCGCCCCAAGCGACGATCAGAAGACGGCCATTGCTGGAAGGGCCCCCTTCACCCGATTCCGCCCCTTTTCGTTTCAATCGCAACAACGCCTGTGGCCCCGGGATGCGGCTGGGGATAGGCGGGCGTACAGGCAGGATGCGAACACATGCTGGTCGCGCCGTCACTGCAGCTGGACGCGCTGGTTTCGTTGCATCCCCGCCTCCGTACAAACGGATACCCGTCCCGCTGTTACAGCCCGACGCGCCGGCTGCGCTGCACTCTCGCCGCCGTTTCGACGGACCATATCGCGGTGAGTGCGCCTGACTCCGCTGCCGTCGGATGCTCACTTCAGCTTACACTCGCACTCCGGTGAGAAGACCCGGACGGCTGGCCCCACCGGCCGCCGGATGCTCACCTCAGTTCACACTCGCCCTTTGGTAAGAAGGGCTGGACCTGCTGGTCGTCAGACGCTTACCTCAGCTTACACTCCCCCTCCAGTGAGAAGAGCTGGACGCACTGGTTGTTGGAGTCGGCCACCATCAGGCGGTTTGTTGCGGTCGCGAACCACACGCCCTGGCGTCACAGACACAGACACGTCAGTCACAGCAGGGTCTCGGCCCAGTCCCAGCCGGCCATTACATCTAAGGCCCTTTCGTGCCTTGCACAACGTACTTAGCAAAGGGCGTCGGGAGATGTGTTCAGGAGCGCAATATAGGTCATATTCTATATAATGTGGGACTATCGTTACGTGTGAGGGACAGGAGAGAAGGCAGCACAAGGCATATCCTACAAAGGGTCGTCGTGGCAACGGCGGCTTGGCCGCCTAGAACTGAGACGTAGCTCACAAAATTCGGTTAGTAATAGCACCTTGATTGATACGGCTACGCATATCGCCGCTGCCGCTGCAGCCTTCGCGAGGAAAACCGATGAGACAAAGAGCGTCGTGATATGTGCGACGAACACATTGAATGCAACTCCGGCTCCAGGGACTTCTATTGGTAACCGATCGAATGCATTGGACGCAAGCTCATCAATGTTTCTTAGACGCCAAGCTTTGAACCAAAGTTCTGTTTACCGGTCTGTGAAGCGACTCGATTTCTTCTAATGCTGTCCATTTAAACCCGTACGCCTTGAGTTATAAAAAAGCATCTAAGAAAATCGACGCTTGCAATTTTTGAAATTTCTGTGGCATGAATTGAATGGTGTATTTGTTTTGTAATTAAATATTTGTGGTTGATAAATAAAATATAATTCGATAATCAAACATAAGTAGCATGCGATCTTTGGCAAATACACGGGAAGTGGTTCAACCCATATAGCTCACTATTTTAGGGTGAATAATCACTGGTCTTATAAGATAACTATTTATCAAAGTTTTTTCAGTACAGCATACAGTGCAGGGTTTGCTGTAATACAGCCACACAGTGTCCACATGATATCAGGGCATTGTTTTTGTAGCGCTATACAATGTGCGCAACAAAGGCATGTGCTTTCTTTTGAAACACAGGGCGCATTCGCACCCACGAAGCAGCACTACAAAGCAGCGGATGGATGACGTCCGGTCGGGTTTTGTTCGCGGCTGGCACCGCCCCGCGAGAATGGTTTCATCAGCCGCTGATGCTTCCGAGGCGCGACATGCCCAGGTCGGGGCGCCGTCTCGGTCAGCGGTGGCAGACGGGTCCCGCGCGGCCTGGCCCAGCGGCGCCGGTGGGGACGGTGTCGCCGGTGCGACTGTCGCCCCGGTCCGACCCCGGGGGACGGTCACCCCGGCTCTGCCGGCAACCGGAGTTCACTGCGGCACGACGCTCCGGCAGCCTACGCGTGGGTTTGCCCCACCCCGAGCGACCGGTAGCCAGACGCCGCGCGCTGCTGCTCTGTCGTCCCGGGTCGCAGCGAGCCAAGCCGCGGCACCACACCGGCGTCGGTGGTCGACCCCGCCCCGCCCCGCCGCGGTCCGCGGGCCGCCTCCCGAGCGGCCGGCGCAAGACCGCCGCCCACTCTTCCAGGGCGAGCAATAGTTCGGAATAGCCTGGACGCGTGGTGCCTGCGACGGGCCCGTCTGCGCGTTTTACGCCGGGTCCGGCCCCTTGCCGGTGTCGGCAGCCACGGGCCGATCGCGGCGTCTGCCGCTGACCGGCAAGCAAGTGGCGCGCCCTCGTGCCGCCGCTCGGCCGCCCCGGGCGAGCGCGGCGTCTGCCGCGACCGGCCGCAAGCTGCGCGCCTCGTGCCGCCGCCCGGCCGCCCGGTTCGATGCTCGGTGCCGGTGGCGATCGAGACCACAGTCAGTGTAAGACTTCTGAACAACCTGCGTAGCAGTAAATGATAGCTGGGCTTGTTTGACTGAAGGTGGCCCCGGCCGGGGCACTCGCGGCAAACTGCGAATACCACGGGATCACTTAAGTCGTCCGCTTTCAGCTGGAACTCTTGATCCCATGCCACTTCACAGCGCATAAGATGAGATCAAAAAGTTGGCGGCGACCATTAGCAGTAACCAGAATGCGTAAACGGAGCCGCACACAAATGTTCGAGAGAGGATGCATGGACAAAATTTCAGTCAACACATGGAGGTTGTTGCCGTTTTTGTGGATGCTTCGGAAGTTTGGGATGATTTTGGTCAATATGAAGCTGGCCGAAACGAGCATGCAAGGAGCTAGATCTCTTTGAAGAGATACAAAGCTCCAAATACGCCGATGTATGTTGTCATCGCTGGTTAAGTGTTGGTGGAGAATGTGAATTTGTTCAGAAGTGAACACATCAGTGCAAATGTCTTACTCCGCTACACCCATTCCACAATTGAAGCCCAACGCCTTCGCCGTCTAGGAAATGCATTTTTTCTTACCACGGATATGCTACCTTCACCTTAAACACAAGTGTACTTAAGCCGGTATATTCACATGTTATGTAACGTGCAAAGCCTACACAGCTACTATAAACACCTCGGCGGCGGGGAGTGGTCACACACAGGGGCGTAGGCAGGGCGGCACGGAGGGCTCGCCCTCCCCCCCCCCCCCCCCCCCCCCCCCTGCTTGTGTCCAGAAGGACCCGAAGAGCCCTCCGGGACCGACTCGTGACTGACGATGAAGGGCCCGATTTGAATGCCCGAAGGGCTGGCCGAATGTCGTGTTAAGGGGACCCGGCGCGCCGGGACGGGCTCTCAAATGTCGTGTTAAGGGACCCGGCGCGCCGGGACGGGCTCTCAAATGTCGTGTTAAGGGGACCCGGCGCGCCGGGACGGGCTCTCAAATGTCGTGTTAAGGGGACCGGCGCGCCGGGACGGGCTCTCAAATGTCGTGTTAAGGGGACCCGGCGCGCCGGGACGGGCTCTCAAATGTCGTGTTAAGGGGACCCGGCGCCGGGACGGGCTCTCAAATGTCGTGTTAAGGGGACCCGGCGCGCCGGGACGGGCTCTCAAATGTCGTGTTAAGGGGACCCGGCGCGCCGGGACGGGCTCTCAAATGTCGTGTTAAGGGGACCCGGCGCGCCGGGACGGGCTCTCAAATGTCGTGTTAAGGGGACCCGGCGCGCCGGGACGGGCTCTCAAATGTCGTGTTAAGGGGACCGGCGCGCCGGGACGGGCTCTCAAATGTCGTGTTAAGGGGACCCGGCGCGCCGGGACGGGCTCTCAAATGTCGTGTTAAGGGGACCCGGCGCGCCGGGACGGGCTCTCAAATGCTAGTCCGGGGGCGCTTTGCACCGATCGGGGGACTCCTGAGTCGATGAGGGGCTCTAAATCGGCCAGGCTCCACAAGCGCCGAACAGTCGGCTTCATTTCGGTCTTGGCCTGAAGGCCCGTTTCCCAAGCAGGGGCAAGGCCTGGCCCCCAAATTACGTTGATCGGATCCCTGTGTCAATGAGAAACCGCTGCATCGAACTCGAATTCACAGTGCCTAGCAAGGGTTTTGCATGGGCAAGAGGTTTCCGAGTCGGCCAGGGGCAGTGCTCGAGGGGGCCTGAAGAGGGGCCTGAAGGGCCTATCGTGGCTGACGATCAGGGGCCCGAAGCACTAACTGTGATTCACATAAAAGACCCAGTCCGTAGGGCTGGGCCCTCAAATGGCAGTCAAAGGGCCTCTTCCACCGACTGGGAACCCCCTGGGAAAAAGCGGGCCTTTTTGGCCAGAAGCCACCAACAGCTAGCAGTCGGCTCTGTGTGAGTCTGAGCCCTGGGTTCTCCCTTCCCAAGCAGGAAGCAGGATTTACGCTGGTCGGGTTCCCTGAAACATTGATGAGCCCTTATGTCGGTCAG